CTTCCCCTTTACTGTTATTTTTGGCAAAGCCGCCCCTACCCTCAAAGTCTCGTAATCCAAGTGTGTTAGGTCAGCTACTAAGGACGATTAACATTCAACGGAGTATGTTTTTTTTTTAAGTCAACGAATGAGATTTTCAAATTTGCAGTATGATCAACAAGGTCTAGCACTCCTGACAGTTTAGGGCATTATCCAGTAGTCAAACTCCCTGTTTGTTTATTTGATCTGCAAAATGGCAATTTCGACCTGACCCGTTTTACCCGACCTATTTGACCTGTTTTGGGGCGGGCATGGGTAGTCTCATCGACCCGACCTGCCCTGACCCGCCCCATTCTCGACCCGTTCTTGTCTAAATTACATGAAATCTTAGTCAAATTACTTTGAATTTTACTTTTATCGCATCATATTTTAGCTATAATAAAGTTGTAAATTAGTGGAAACCTCAATTTCTCCAATAATTTAACTACAATTGTCATAATATTGTTTATTTTCTTAGTTCTATAATAAAAATAACGAATATTTCTAATGTTTTTCAAATAAATTGCATATTCATTGGGTCGACCTGCACCGACCCGCGACCCGTGATCAATTATCCGACCTGGACCCGCCCTGCCACGGGGCGGGTCTGGGTACCAAGAAACCCGTCCCGGACCTGCCCATTGCCATTCCTAGTTTCAATTATGGCAGAACAGGAATGAAGAAGAGGCCAATAAATGTGGTGGGGAGACAGGCCGACAGGTAGCCGACTGTTTAAGGAATAAGCTAGCAAAGCAGCAACTAGGCTGTCGTTAAATTCAGCGCCGGCCATGACCAATTCATTACAGAGACGATTTGTAGCTCTATAATTATCTTGTGGGAAAGTGGTGGAGCAGCTTTCTTGTTATAGCGATTCATGGTTATACAATTGTATGATTTTCAACGCCCAATAATTTCTTGTCAACTTTTGCTTATGTAGGTTTTTATTCCAAAAATGTTCAAATAGAATGTTAGTTTTATTATTATTATTTATTTGGACCTATAATCTTTATAGAAATTTGGTTGCCTCCAAATAGGGCTATAAATGAGCCGAGTCAAGACGAGTTTTACCCTAATTTAAGTTTGGCTCGTTAATAAATGAGTTCAGCTCGAGCTCGGCTCGTTTATTAACGAGTCGGGCCGAGTTCGAGTTGGCTTGTTTACTAAAATATTAACTCGTATGATATATGAGATTAATGCCAAGATGAAAATAATAAAAATAATTAAGGGTTCAATATTAACTAATCTCATGTTATACTTTGTGGTACCATATTATTTAGTTAATAAATTTAACTAGTCAAAATTATGTTATTTAATAGTATCGAAGCAATCTATAATACAAAATTAATTTTTAATATTAAATAAGACATATTTTCACACATATTCTAAGTGTTAACCTTCATATAGGGCGAGATATATAATTCAACAATCCTATAAATTATCAAAATCGAACTTATCAGTTCGAGTCGCTGATAAGTTGGTAATCGAGTTGGCTCTCTAGCCCTAAACGAGTCAGCTCGCGAGTTGAGCTCAATAAGCTACCGAGTCAAGCTAGCTAACGAGCTGCCGAAGGTTTAGCTCAGACTCGGCTCATTTGCAGCCCTACCTCCGAATGACTGAATGTTCCATTACTACAAAACAATTTCGTATTATAAAAGTTGAAAAGGTCATAAAGAGCTCCACCACGACTTAGAATCCCCCACCGCCTTCTGTGTTTGATTTTGCGTCTCTATCCTTAGTCCTTACCAGGAAAGTCATGGGGGAAGAAGGTACAGTTCCGGAAAAAAGTGAAGTTTTGTTGAACTTTTGGGATGCAAGAAATTAAATGAGTATAACAGAAACACAGGGTTTAAGGGGGAAGAAGAAAGCAAAGTGAAGATTGGTGTACGTGTTCCAGTGAGGTTTTGAGTACTGAAATGTGATCATATATATATGATGACTTTTTGGGAACACAATTAGCGTGTCTACTGGCTGTTAATAAGAGAATCATGATTAATTAGGTCTAAACTGCCTCCAAAGTTTCTGGGGTTGGTCTCACTTTATGGGTGTCAAATCAACAACTAGTACAGTTTTCTTGCAATTCAGAGTAGTCGACCAATTACACTTGTCGGCGCCTTAATTAATGTGTTCAGGGACGACAATTGTACCGAACTCACGGGTTTTCACTCCGAACCAATTTGATCAGAGCGGGTAAAACTGTGTGTTAATGAGTTTTTGGCCTGTGCGGGTTTTATCCGCTTGTGAAATAGACGGACTGAGTCGAGTTCGGGTTTTGTCAAAATTCAACAGGCTTTTCACCTGACCCGCATTTATTAAATAAAACGACGTTATTGCATTGGGTATATATCTAACCAAAAATAATATGAATAATTTATGAAAGTAATTACTTTTTGTAACAATATAAACATAATAATATGGATAACTTGTACGTGAATGTCAGTCATGTTTAGGAAGATATATTTGGAGGAAAAATTTCGATAACATTGCAATATGGGTTATCGGAGAAACAATGTACGATTACTTTTGTGAGCTCATGGGGTACCCATACACCTACAACTACAAGTACCTTTTGAGTTGAGTTTTTATTTCTAAAACTCAATGGATATTTTACCGAGATTTTTTTAATGGTGTACCAGTTGGGGGTTGGGTTTGGGATGAGAAGAACCTGACCTAACCTCATCCCTAAATTTTTTTCAACTTGTAATAAAAGAGCATACAAAATGACAATGACTATAGCATATTCCACCATTCGAATAAACAATATTTACAATTATAAATGGATGAAATTCTCCAAATCTTTTGTTCCCCGTTCCTTCATCTCAATTCTCTTCCAAAGAGGTGTCTGCTAACATTATCATCATATTAAAATCGTGGTTGACCTATTTTGCAAAGCTAAAACTATCTATCGTTTGATATTCAATACATGGTATTTCCAAACCGATGACCGGTATGATAAGGTTTCTAAACTGTTGGTTTGTCCCTTGCACTAGCCATAATGGTACCTTATTTTTTACTCAAACCTACAGCAATGCAATTTGAAATGAACCTTAACGACCATTATTGACTTGGCCTGTCATACTTGGCGGAATTTGACCTCTTCTCCCCCCACAACTTTTTACAACACATGACCTTACACCTCCATTTTTACGAAGTCAAATTCGAATCCAATGACAAGGTTATTTGATTATTCTATCACAACAACTTCTGAAAAAGCATGACGAATGAAGAAATTAATTAATACTATATATATGGTGGCTACTTCGGTGCACTCAGTGCATCCAACTCTAAAAGCGTCTATAATACATCAAATTCTGAACTTTAATTAGTACTCTCAATATAATATGATGATATGACATAGAATCATAACAAATCAATCCATTACCCTAACCTCTTAACCTTCAATTTTGAATCCCAACCCAAAATCCCAAATTGTAAACCTAAACCCTAACCCTAAATCTCTAAATCCTAAATCCTTCAAATTAAAGTAAATTTTGAATGATTTTTTTTTTTTTAAAAATTCATGTGCTTCTCGTTCATAATATCATAAGCAACAATTGATACCGTTTTGACATGAATCGCATGGTCAGAATGACAATTATGAGGTGCACCCGAAAAAGTGGATGCACCGAATACGCCATCATATTATATATATACAAACTATAATTATGTGACAACCTGATCTCTAAATTTAATTTAATTTTAATGTGAATCAAGCTTTTTTCTCTCCTTCGATATCATAAATTTTAATATCGAAAATTCATCAACTAGTTACTAAAACATACTGACCAAATTAGAATACCTTCAAGAGAAGATCTGAAAGACATTGTCTGAAGTCAAACAAGATCAAGGAAATGTACTAAATTTCACAAACCATTGGTGGCTTACTGACTAATTGTTTGAGCATGCAACAATGTTGTTTTGCAATTTGAAAACAACATAGAAAACCTTTAGTAGGTGGCAAATCCAATTTCATGTGAACTTCCCCCTCCATATCTTCATGACAGGAAGGTATTGTTAATGACTTAAATCTTAATGTCCAACTATCATAAGAAAATGTTTTGACTAACTTTGGCCACGGTACTTTTAGACTTTAGTCACGACGGGTATCAAATAAATTCACCACATAAATTAGGAAATTGAGTAGAATGCAAAATATGCTGTCATAAACCAATTGGTCCCAATAATTCGAGTTATTGGGAGAAGGTTATGCTGGATCTTACACCACTATCTCTAACACGCCCCCTCAAACGAAAGCCGACTCATGGGCTTGAAGTTTGCACAGGCCCACCATACCATATTATTATGTGATTACAACTATTAAGATTGAAGGTCGTGGAGATTCGAACGCACGACCACTTGGTCAAACCAGCTTTGATATCATGTCAAGAACCAGTTGCTCCCAATAACTCGAATTGTTAGGAGAAAGTCATGCTGAATCTTATACCACACTCTTACATTTGCATTTTGTATATGGTTTTAGTTGCTGACCTTTCGTTTTGGTAGTTAAATTTTTTTTTTTTCCTCCTGGCGCGCACTATAATTTAAAGGGCTTTGGCAACCGGCACAAGTAACCTTTTACATCATTGAATAGTGTTGAAACCAAAGAACATTGTTTCACGTCACCTTTACATCATTTCTCTGTTCTCTATGCTCACTCTTCCCCTTCCCCTAGCCCTAGCCCTCTTCTTTTTCCCCAAAATCATCCCAAAATATAGGCAAGGTAATTATTAATTACCCAAACGCCAAGAGTAATTAACAGCTTAGGAGACCATACTTACAAAAACAGACGTGCCAAAACGATCGATACCAATGCATTAATTACTGGACGTGCAAAATTAAAGAATGCAATTATCCAACTTTTATGACATTACATACATACAAACATACGTGCCTCCTGCTTACACTTCGGATTCCATTCATAGTATAATACTATATTCATCGAACTGATGAGGTATATCTTCTAGAAGAAAACGGTGGTCGGTCGATCAGCCGCCGCCGCCGCTGCCGGCGGCGGTGCTCTGAGGGCCAATGCTGTTGTGCTGCCTGGAAGGAGCGGAGGGCGGTATTGGCATCCCTTTCGGTAGAAACCCCATGAACGTGCGCGGCGGCACCGGCTGCCTCCTTCCCCGCCGCCGCCGGCGATACCTCGACGGAACCCTCATCACCGTGGCGGCCTTACCACCACCGTTAATACTATTCTGTCTTGGCGAGTGATGACGTTGTTGGTACGGAGACAAAGAAGAAGAAGAAACATACGAGGGAAGAAAAGAAACCATGATGCATAAAACGACGACGACGAGAGCTACCAAGGCCGTACGCCTCCCGCTTACTAATAACATCACTCCCTTTTAATTTGAGAAGATGAGAAGCCAAAGGGAAAAGGAAATGGAAGCTCTTCTCTCAATCTCTTTCTGCAAGCTGCTGTTCTTCTCCTTCAGAAGTCAGAGAGAGAGAGAGAGAGAGAGTTGGTGAGCTAATAAAAGAAGTGGAAGGTGGGCATTGTTGTGTTTGTGTAATATGAATCGGAAATGGATATGGAATTTCTCAGAAAGGGGAGATCTCAGCAGAATATTAATAATTGGTTATTTATTCGGCTGCCGAGTTAAGTATACATTAATTATTGGTTATAGTTATGGGGTTGGAAAGTTGCTGAATTATACAAAAATGAAAGAAAGGAAAAAAAAAAGGCATGATTTGGTACGCCTTGTTGTGTCATGTTTAGTCAATACGTATAGATTTGGTTGTTTGAATTAGGGATAAGTATGTGTTTGTATACGAGATTTGCAACTAGATGATTACTGAATGTACTGAAGGTATTATAATTAGTTATTTTTATTTGGATTTTGGTTATACAATAAAGGGAAATGATGGGGGTACAAAACTCAGAAAATCAAAACTTGTAGAGTCTCGTCGTTGTTTTATTCAAACCGATACAGATCATATCACCGTGATCTGATGATCATATATCATAGGGTTCTATGATTCGTATCAAGGTTTGATATAATGTGAAGAATCAGTTAGTTCCGAAAACTCGACTTGTTGGAAGAGATTCAGTTATGAATCATATGCCACTTATCAACATAGTACCCCCTCAAATGAAAGTCACGTCAGAAGGGCTAGAAGTTTGCACAGGCATCAACATACCATGTGCTTAGCAAATGGGGTCATCGTGACCCGAGCAAAAATCCTCTCAAGCCATATAAGACTCTAATACCGTATCAAGAACCAGGTGATTCCTATAACTCGAGTTATTAGAATAGATTAAATTGTGAATCATATAGCACTTAACAAATAAAACATATATTTTTATAAGTTTCAGGACATAAAATACCTCATCATAACTCAGATAAGTCACTAAGGAAGTATAAATACAAGTCAATTGATGTGTGAGAGAGGTGACTTGTACCACAAGTGAAGAAAATATACACATATAGATAGATATATTGTTATTTATTAGAGATATGGACATATATGCGTAGGTGAAGCTACCTCTCAATAATTTATAAAAAAATGGAACTGTAGAGGGAGCCAGAAGCAGGAAGGGAGGGAACACGTGGATGTATAATTTAGTGCAGGGGTATGGTTGTGTGTCCTGTCTGCCTTCCCATTTATTTTAATTCTCTTTTTTTTTTGTGTTTTTTTCTTTTTCAGGGTATACAAAAGTATTATATTTTAGGTCTACAAAAGTGTTAGAATGCATTTATTTGGAGCTATATATTAAAGTATCTTGTAAGCCTTCAATTCTCTTCACATTATGTACTTCACACGATGCCCAGCTGCATGATTGTATTAATTTTTCAGAGAATGTTTTGCGTATCAGCGTATGTGTATATTTTTATGGGAAGTGTATGTCTATTAGGTATGTGGATGAATGAATTCGAGTTGGAGCATTTATTGATTGATATATGACTCTTGAATCATAATCTTTAGTTTTATTGGGCTTTTTCACTTTTCCTTTTTGTGTATTGCTAGTGCATTCATCATTAGCTATAATAATTACATATCTCTAATACTAGTGATCGCATAGATCGTCCGATGGACGACCACAGAGTGATGCTTATTCTCTTTTAAATAAGGATTATGACAAACCAATCGACCACAATATTACAACCTTGTGGTTAATCCAGATTCCAACTATATTTTGCGCAAAAAAAAGAATCTATGTTTATTATTTATAACCAACAAATCTGCTTCCAATATCAGTGACTAACCCCTAACCATGAATTTGTCAAAAAAAAATCCCCCCCTAATACCATGGTGATCACAGCAATAAATAATTGGGCCAGAGTGAAGATAAATTGATTCATGGGTCTCTTTTGGCAGCTCAAGGCCCAATCAACACGGCCTGCTAAATAAAATTTCCACGACAGAAGCCTCGTAGCAGCAGAGGCTGGAAGAAGTATGGACACGCCCCAAGGCCCAAACCATGAGGAAATTTAAGAAATAAAAAATAAAATTAAAACTCATACGGCTCGGCAGATTAATCCGACGAGGAATGTGTAGCATGAACCGCCCGCTGTACAATTTTTCTGTAGGTGATTTAGTGGTTTAGGGGTTTCGATCTGTTCGCACTCTCGGCTTCTCCGGCGGATTTCCGATTAGGGAGTAGAGGTTTGGAAGAGAGCAGCCGGCATAACCACCGCATCCCTTTCTCCTCCGGCGGGGACGTTATCTTCCTGTTTCCTGCGATGATCAGCAAACTGGGAGACGATCTCCTCTTGGAGATTTTGATCCGCCTCCCGAACCCTAGATCAGCCTGCCGCTGCAAATCCGTCAGCAAGCGGTGGAGCTTCTTGATCTCCGATCCCAGCTTCAATCGTCGTTTCGTTTCTCACCACCAGCGACCTCCCCTGCTTCTTCCCTCCAACGATCCACAATCGATCATCCCGACCATTCTCCCCGTGCCAACTGATGTCGACGGACTGCGTTTCTCCGTCTTGGATTCCTTCGAGGACTTGCTTCTATGCGGGGTTACATTCCCAGAGGACATCGATGCGGAATTCAGCAGATCGTACTTCGTATGCAATGTGTTCACGAAGCAATGGGTCGCACTTCCTTTGGCGCCTGAAATTCCACCGGGATGCGCGGTAGTGGTTCCAAGGTTAGTTTGCGAGCCTGCTGTTTCTAACAATCTTGATATGGGAGATGGCGAAGCATCTGTTTGTTATTCGGAGTATCGATTTCGGGTGGTCTGCATTTGTCAATGTGGTTTGCGTATAAAGCTAGATGTGTTTTGTTCCGAGACTGGAGAATGGACGAAGGAGGCTGTTGTTCTTGATGGTGATTATCTAATCCAAATGAAAAATGTACTTTCCTGCAACGGGGAGTTGTTCTTCGTGGATTTGTATGAGGATGAAGATGGTGATGTTTATCCTTTGATTGCTGTGATTAACCCTTTCCGCCTAGATATGCGTCCCACTTACCTTGATGCTCGTGAACTTCTTGTGACGCCGAAGTGGGATATTGCGGTATCGCAAGGTGCTCTGCACGTGATTCTATTTGAAGAGGAACGCACACCTGATTGTTCCATGGCTGATTTGAGTGTTTGGAAACTGCAAGAAGACCCTAAAACTTGGAGGCTGGTACGTGAAGGGGTGGTGAAGACAACTCCAAGGTGTCTGCACCGAGAGATGGCTGACATTGAACATTGTGAGAAGGCTGGCCCTGAACGAAAGACATCAACGTCTAACTATGAAGTTGATGCCATTATTTTCCCTTCTTTGCATCCAGATAACCCGGAAATTGTCTTCTTCCATTGTTTTTCAATTGGTCCTCAGTGTGCTATCTTGTCTTGCGATTTGACGAGGGGAGAGCTGGAGTTCTTCTCTTACTTTAGAGCACGTTCACTTCGTTGGGCGGTGTTCCAGCCCAAGGTCTCTTGTTGTTCTTCTCCAATTCGAAGATACAAGGAATTGAAACTCCTCTACAATGGTAGCTACAGTTGCTGGGTCCAGAGCAGCAAACCAACAACTCCCTCAATAACGGGTACGTACTCCTAGTTGTGAGGCTCTGTTCAATTTAGAATTAAACGAAGTATTCATAGGCGAAGCTAACTCAATTATGCACGAGGAGGTCCTGATAGATGTGTCATTTGTTTGGGTAGACTAGTTTTTTTCTTTTATGGAATTAGCTGCAGTCGTTGAAGTATTAGGATACAATTCATGTCTGCATAGTTATAATTTTCAGAACATGTTTGGTGTATGTTTTTGTGGATATCGTGTATATAATTTCTTCGAATCGTTTCAGGATGAATTAGTTCGTGTTAGAGCTTCCTTTCACCTTGAAGGTCACGTGTTGGAATCATGATATACAACATTGTTGAGCTTGTCCTAGCTTCAAGTTCATTCGCTGCTCCTGCTCGAAGGCCAGTTCGCGGCAGGTCAATCTGGTGGACGAATGATATAAACTTCATTCTAAGACTTCCTTAACTTGACCAGTTACTGATTAACACAGCGGGTTCTTACTTCTTAGTTTGCTCTCTTTTTCGCTTCGAATTCTCAAGCTGAATTAGGGGTTGTACCTATGCAAATATATGATGGTGTCACTACTTGTTATCAGTCCTTGTAAACCGATTGGTCTCACCATAGGTTCTTGAAAGCCGATTTGGCAAATGCATGACATCTTCTGACCTACTTGGAACCACCATACGTGCAACACAATGTAATTCAACCTAGCATCATGGATTTTTCCATTGTCTTCATAGCATAAATGTAGCTGGGCTGTTCCTTCCAGTTCCACAAAATGAGTATTGGAAAACATTTGTGAGGAATGTGGAATATGTACTAGAACCAATAGCCCAATCAGTATCTACAGTTAATACAAGCATATGTTTCAGGCTTGTTTGGATAATAGCAATGAGATTCTCCAATCTCCACTATCCTGCTCAGAATAGCTAGAATTTCCTGAAGAATCGTTTGATGAGGAATAAAAACGAATATCGGAAATTCGAAACCATAAGCAAGTATGATCTGCAGCTTGTCCCATGGTTTCTCAATCAGATAATCGGTTGAGAATTGCATTTTACAACTTACATGCCGCCACTCCTGACTCAGAAAATGATCTCCAAATATCTTCTTTCAACACCAGCAACCACTCAAGCTGGACCCTCCTTATTATGGTCTGTATACTGTATTAGAATACAAAATGAGAGTACACTTTTAAGGCACAACAAATGACTCAAAGAGGCAGCAGTTTCGTTAAGATCGAAAGATCATTGGCCATCAAGAAACAGAGCTCGACATTTCTCCATTGTATCATCAGGACTGGTCACTGCATCAAACGAAAACACCATTATTCAGATAGTACAAGACGAAGGAAGAAAAACCGGAACCTTTGAAGTGCATAGTCTATGTGGACATGGGTACTAATTCCTATCTTATGCTTACGGTTTCAACACATTTCAGGGCTATTTTGATATGGAGAATACTATCAAAGTGGACTTCCACAGGAAATCTGAACTCCAAAGGATAAAAGCATAAAATAGATTTGCTCACCAGTGTGTCCCACGGTCCGTTCTGATTCATATATTTCATGATCGTTTCCTCCCTGCAAATATAAGGATAGTGAAGTGAGAATCGATATATGACGAGATGGGTAGCCTAAGACGCCAAACATGAATGCTAAGTAACCACACCGAAAACAGCAGGTTCTCTCATATCAAAAGTAGTTCTAACTTCTAACAACAATAAGTAATAAGCAGTCTTTTCTTTCAACATTTGACGAACATATGACAACTCTAGATTTCAAAGTCTGCTTAGTTTCTAGACTACTTTCTATACCAACTCAGTGAACTAGTCAAACCTGAAGTACTTCTAACTAGAGGTTATACTAGCACTAATCAAAATAATCGAGAAGCGGCTACAAGAGACATCATAAGCAGGGCAATGAGTTGGGTGATAGGAAGATGTAAACACCAAAACAGAAAAATGATTCAAGTCCCAACCTTGTAAGTTTTGTCACCGAAGAAGTGGATTTCAGTAAACTCATCAAGATATCTCAAGCAGTATGTCTTGTCCCAGCCTTGGGGGAAAACCTGTTAGAAACATTACTACCACTGTAAGCAGGATTGCAAATTATTTAGCCTACCAAAGTGTAACAAGCACGATAACAATAACATGCACCTACATCAAAGCTTATTTGCCCTCCTATGGAAAATGTCAAGTTAAGGTGAGCGAATTTCTCACGCAGCACCGACACCATCTTTGGGCGTATGTTCTGAACCTGAAACCATAAGCACAAGTAAACATTTATTGTCATTTACATCAACCAGCCAACAAATCTAAATTACACAAGCAGTAAATTATAATACAAGCTTTGCGACTTGCAAGAACATCTTTCTATACCTTGTCATATTTTTCAAAGTCGTCCCTTTCCTCTTGGCTGCAGTTTCGTCCAATCGGAGATACATTCAGCATACCACTTCTGAACTCTATAAAAGTTCCCCTGCACAAACCATTTGAAGGTTAGATGACTTTCAAGTAGTGATGGAACGAGATGTATGCGGACTGACTTTTATGATATGAACTGGACTTGCCGTTTTATGGGGATATCCAAGTCGGCAATGTAATGCAATGTGAAATTTATGAACTCCTGAAATGAAAAGCATTCAGTATCTTTGATTAATATACTGGAAGATGACACACCCAGAAGACTGCTTGAGTGATTATGATCGATCGCACCCCAGTTATCGATCAAGCAAAAATCACAGGTAACTATCAAATAATCTAGTCTGCCTCAGGGCAAGTAACCATTGTTAAAAGTTGCTGGTCAACTGATTATGATTGTGCTCTTCTAAACCTTTATGCACAAACATCCAAAATTGATAAAGAACCACCATACATTCCGGTGAAAGATCTTACCTTGAGCTGTCCATCTCCAAGAAATGACTTCAAGCTCTGAACATAAAATTACATAACATGTCAATTTCAGGGGGTAGACAATGTCTCAAATACTATTTGCGCTTTAGGTAATACGACTGTCAGGCCAAACACTACGATACGAGTGTAAAGACTCCGATTCACACCTGGGTGCCAATGAGATTTCCAGCTTTATGAGCTACAAGACCATTCTCCGAGAAGACATAATCATAATCGGTGATGACTGCAACACAAACCACAGAACTTAGCTACTTGTCCATCTGTTTACACTCTCCTATGGAAATAAATTTAAATGGTGATGGACGGAACCTGTCTTTCCGAGCTGCTCTGATATCTTACTGAGATCGGATCCACCAACAACCCCAACTGTAACTACCTGCAATTCAAAGTGAAGATCATAAGAAATTTTGCACGCAGCCAACTTGGTGGAAACGAAGTACATTCGAGGCAGGATAGTTCCAAAATAATTTGGAAGATCTGGCATGTGAAAGAGAGGGACGAATTGTATGAACAAGTCCATGCCTTTCGGAGTTGTTGCATAAACTTCAACATCTTTGGAGTAACCTCCTGTATATAGAATTCGAGATAACCAAATCACAACGAGTAATTAGTCGGAGGAGATGGAAATTTGTAAAATGAGACACAACTAACTAGAGCCTAAAGAATCAAAAAGTTAGATCATGGGAAGAGGAGCTGAAGCGCACCTTTCTTGGAGCAGTGAGAGTCCCATCAACGTCGAACAGAGCAATCAACCCAGGCTTCCTTGCAGCCATGCCTTCCTTCCTATCCAGAGTAAATTTCTGAAGCGAGTTAAGAAAGATGAGGCAAAAGGGAACGGGGAGAAGCCTTTTGGCAGCCAGATAAAGCTAACTTGCTATCGCTAAGCAATTTACTAGTAGGACATTATGATAATGTGAAGCTCACGCTAACAATCAGATCCAGCCATGAAAGGATTACTTCAACATTACGACATTATGGTGGTGTAAAGCTCACGGTAACAATCAGATCCCGCCAAGAAAGGACCGAAATTTCACAATAGAAATGCAGCACAGAAATGGGCAATCATGGAACCATGAAAAGGAACCCATTCCCTGAAAGAAAGCTAGAAATTTCCCATCCAGATTTCAAGCAAAGGAGACAAGAGAAGGAAACAGACAGAAGTTGAGAACCTGGACTGGAAGTGAGGAGGGAGGTCAGGGAGTATGGATGAGGAGATGTGAAGATCTCAAATGGCGGAACCAATTAGTGGACTTGATTCTTTGAAGCCGGAGTAGAGATTTGGGGCGAGGGATTGACGAATTTTTATTTTTTTTGCGGGGATGATACGTCGTCAGACTGAGACCGAGACTGAGAGAGGGAAGATCTCCGACGCGGAAACGAGGGAGAAGAGACAGAAGAAAGGCCGGGACGCTCGCTAGATCGCTCGAATTTTCAGGCGTCCGGCCGGATAATAGGATGGGCCGGGCCTTGGATTTATCTGTTTTTTTTTATGTGAAGCCCATACTTTGCAGCGAGCGAGCCCAACTTTTCGTCGCTTCGTCCGTCTCGTGGATCGTGGCCCGTACACTCAACGACTAGCACAAGAACGAAGAGTCTTTCTTTCTTCTCTTTGAAGACCAGGTCAACGGTAATAATAGGTTGGAAGTTTGTACGGATTTGATCACTTAAAACAATTTTCCATTCTTTGTATGTTGTCACACATATATAATTCTAATTAATTAAACGAACCCGTTCGATAATATTTTTTTTTTATACATAAAAGTAAATATGAACTAAACCAAACGAGACAATATTGACTCGACATGAGTTTATCTATTTATGCAATGCAAGAAACAATTTTGGATTATGCCATTTTTGTATTAGTTAAAATGTAATATCAAAGTTAATACGTCACTTTATGGTACATTACGTAACAAATATTGCTCTTGTCATATTTGACAAGAAGCACATACAGGATTTAAACGATATGATTTTTAACCGAACCATATCGGGTTGAATTTTCTTTCTCCTATCGTAAATGGAATCTGGATTGGATCAAGGATAATTCTATTTTCAGTTGCAACTATAGACTGATTTAAACGATATGGTTCCGATTTGACCGAACTATTTTCCCTCTCCGAGCGGCGTGGGTCGCTCTCACTCTTAATGATGCACTAAATTTTTTTTATTGATACACATATAGTTCGTGATTATTCTACTCATGATAGTCGTTTAAAGTTCGCCATCTCATCTGACCTCTAGTATCTATTGAATCATAAGCGTTCCACACGTCGTGAGTCAATCTCTACTTCACTACTACTTATGCAAAATTCTTCGAATTATACGTATAACTGAAACAAAACATGTAAAAAGTAATAAGTAGTCCGCATATGGTGACCATCTTATTTATGGTTGCTTTTTACATATATTGTTCTGGAAAAGTTCACAAGAGAGAAATGAGCATTGTAAAAGGATACATGTTCTTTAGATCGATGATAAAGCCATCTGATCATCACATACTAATTATCGATACATTTTACATAACTGTAACTGATTCGAAGACGACGACCTCGTGAATTTCCATTGCTGCTTGCGTCGAGCTGTCGAAGAACATGGTCATCCAAACCCAAACTGCTGTCACTGCAATAATACGTCTCGTTTCTAATTCTCACCATTGCTTGTTTTCCATTTGCGGAATTAGTCACCTACAAACAACCCCAAGAGTCAGATGCTCGCAGTAATCTATATATGGACCATTATATCGTATCTCGGGTAAAATTCGGGGTATATCGTACTTTGAGTAAGAAAATAATATCTAAATCTTGAATTGACCGGAGTTTGGCATTTGGAACTATTCTCAAACCCTTAAAGATTAAAATCTATGTCTTAGTTCTATAAATCTCATACACACGAAGATCAATTTATTGAGAAACAAAAATTGACGGTCATGATTCGTTGAAATATATGCAACAAATTACATGCACAATCTTAGGGGTTAGGCTCTATGATCTAGAAAACTAAGACCTAGGATTCACCCATAAAGGGTTAGGGTTTAGTATTCATTCCCAGAAATTCGGTTAATTCGAGTTCTAGATATCGTTTTCTTGCTTAGGGTATGTCGTATCCTAGATTTCACCCAAGATACGATAGAAGCCACCATAAAAACCCTAAGGTACGTAGAAGGTAAAACCCTAGCACAGAATGAATGATTGTTACTTATATATTACCAGTAGGCATTGGCCGGCAACAATATTATTATGGGTAGTTGAAACATTCGATGGCGGCGGTCCACATACTGCAGCGGAGCCAAACTGATGACCACCATGCCGCCGGCGGCTTGCAACGACGGCGTCGGACGACGGTGAAACCATTTTATCCAGGTTTGGGTCGTAGGCGGCGTCGACGACTATGAACATTATTGTATCAAGCACATCATGACTAGCATAGGTGCCGTTCCGTTTCGCACCGGAATAATCACCAGCAGCTGATGATGGCGGCAGCAGAAGCTGTTGGTTTTCGTCAGGCGCAGAACAAGTGAGCAGGCAATGACAAGGATCGCAAACAATGGCTCGACCATCGTCACCAGCACATACACAAGCCGTGCAGTAACCGGCCGCGTACCCGCAGTAGCCCCAGTTACTGCAACACTGTCCTGCGCCACACTGCTCGCACCCCGCCGTGAAAGGTTCGCATTGGCATCTACGATAATAAGCCGATTCGACGGGACGGGGCGACGACGTAGTAATAATTACAACTAGTACTGCCGCAAGGGATGCAATACCGACGCCTCGTTTCATCATCGATCTGATTTTTTGGGTGAGTTGCGTTACGTACGTTGTTTGGTTGCATATATATATCATACAACTTTTTCTGTAATATTAGTGCGAACGAGTAGAAGTTGGTGATCGATCGATAACATTTACGTGCTCCTAGCTAGGTTATATCGGCGGAACGGAAGTACACCTAATAATATAACAGCGAGAGATGTTACGTAGTTTGATGTCGTTTCCCCTCCGACCATGTGCTGCCGCATTTGTTTGACGTGCTAATGTCCGGTGACATCACTAGAGAACAATAATACATGTTCCTTCTTTTTTGGCCAATATATGAACTCAGCTTTGAACTAGAGCTTAACAAAGTGTGTACCCAAGCACCAAGCACAGAGAGATGAATCTCTAGAAGCGGGTGCTTCTTGATAAGATTTGCACATGAAACAAAATTGATATCTTTCTTGTAATCTTATTTAGGCCTCGTTTGCTTGTTGGATTTGAAAATGAAGGTTTTGAGTTTTAAAAATCTTTGGATTTATGATGGATTTGTTGCATCATGGATTTGGAAGAGTACATTGTTTGTTTAGTTGATTTTTTATCATGGATTTGTGATGGATTTGTCTCACATTTTTTCCTTCTATTGTCAAATCCCAAATGAAATGTGGGATTTACAAATCCGTGGGGTCCACGGATTTGGATCTAAAAAAGGGGTCCAAATCCGTGGACCCCACGGATTTGTGTCCCTCAACAAACAAAGGATTTGTGTCAACTCCATGATGCTTGGGATTTGGGTTCCAAATCCATCACCCAAATCCCACAAGCAAACGACCCCTTAATCTATCACCCTCTACAAGAAAGACTATAACTTGAGGATCAATAAAAAGATGCACAAAAACTCGTTTCTTTTCTAGCCATTTGACTTCTTCTTGGCGCAATAGCAACAAGATCATCTAACAACCTTTTACTACGTACTATATAACCAATGTCAAAAGTACATAAAATCGCATGGAAATCTGAATATGTAACTCGACATGGTTCTACATTTGCAGAATCGCGTTCGAATTTGTTCTCAAAGAACTGAACATCCCTTGATTCCACAACTACATTTTATTCTAAGTCTAGAAACCTATAGGCTTTAAGAGTACTTGTCTGCATATATAAGAAAACTCCGAGACTCTGCAGAAAGCAAGACAACCCTATCTTTCTAACATCTAAGGGGTCGTTTGGTTTTGGTGATAGTTAAATAGATGCATTGTCATCAATGCATGCATAATAATATACATGTATATTAGAAAATCGGTGTATTGTAGTTTGGATTGTTTTATTTATGTGATAGTTATTGTGTTATTTAAATATGTTATATTACTTTTTGGATGCAATGTCATTTTTACCCTTTGTTTGTAATATTAAAAAAGCAAGACACATAAAAAGGTAGGGACGAAGTTGGAAGAAAAAACACACAACAATCTCAACCAAACAATCTCAACAGTCTCACCAAAAACTTGAGATTTAACTATCACTCATTTTGAGTGATAGTTTGTGTCACATCAAGCAAACAATGCATGCATTGTTTGTGCAGAAAATTCAAAATAACGATGCATTGTGAACAATGCATGTATTGTAACTATCCCAACCAAACAATCACCAAAACCAAACGACCCCTAAGTTAATGGCTGATTGTATGAATCCTATTTCAGATCAATAAGATCTCAGATGCATTAATAAAAAGAAAACTATAAATGCCTTTGTTTTCAAAATGGGAAAGTATGTTGACAACGGTAAATCACGGGATGAGATAGCATGCCTACCCATAAAGGGTTGGAAAAATGACAACCCCTATTAATTATAGGTTTTTAAAGTAATTAATTTGTGTTACATTTAATAATCTGTATGAATTAAAAACACATATTAATTACTTTCCTTTTTTCAGTGCACTGGTAGTTGTATCAGTGCACTGGTAGTTGTGTACAGGTGCAATGGTAGATGTATCACTGCAATGGTAGTTCCAAAAAAGGAACGTAATTAATACGAGTTCAGTATACAAGTGCAATGGTAGTTGTATCAGTACAATTGTAGTTAAAAAAAAAGGAATGTAATTAAGATGAGTTTTTAATTTCCAAAGATTATTAAATGCAACATGAATTTAATACAAAAAATAACTATAATTAATAGGGGTGTCATTTTTCCAACCCCTTACAAGGGTTAGCATGCTAACCGATCCCGTAAGTCACTTATAAAATAGACTAAAAAATAGAGTAAAGATAGTTTTGCTAATTTTGTGTCGAATTATTCGCAAGGCGTTGGCATTCCTCCGGATATTATCCTCGTATTGCTTTGGTTTTACTTCTGCTGTCCTTGTGAGAGTCTCACTCCGCTCGTCGTACGTAACTTTCTCATAACCTTCTTGCATGATATTTCACAAGTCTTTAGCAATGATGATTGTCTCCATCTGAGTGCTCCAACACTCGTAGAATTCATCATGCGGAAGATTGCGCTCAATTTTACGAACATTGCGTTCGCCTGAGCTGTTACCTCGACGATATTTCTTGTGGTGGAAAAACATAACGAGACTTATTTAGGAGGATAAATGAATAGTATCATCTCTAATACCAAATCTATTAGACACCAAAAATAAAATTTTTAGGAAAATTTAGGAGAACTACATCAGAGTCGGATAGGGCAAAGCATTTAGATATCATGCTTCGTAGTACATGTAGTTATCATACTAGTTGCGAATACAACCCACATGCTTGTAGGTAATTGTCAAGTTGCCTCCTACATTTCTCTTGTAATCGCTGGTGTCGAGATGTTGAAAAACATCGTAATCCAGCACCAAACTTGTACCGTTGCTGCTACAGTACTGTTCATCCGACGTAATTTCCACAGTTGCTCGCCTCCCATTCTCGAGATTCGTCACCTACCAGATTACAGAACAAAATTAACTACCAGATCATGTAAACATGCATACTGTATACATGTTATAGCTCACAGTATATATGGTGCCTTCTATGGTACTTTGGGTAAAACCTAGAGTACGACATACCCTTAGTAAGAAAATGTTATCTAGACCTTAAATTAACCGGATTTTGGGGCATGATACTATACCGTACCCCTTGATGAGTGAACCTTAGGTCTTAGTTATCTAAATCGTAGACCCTAAGCCCTAAGATTGTGCATGTATGTTTGTTGCATATTTTTCGGTGAATCATGACCGTCGATTTTTGTTTCTAGTTAAATTGATCTTAGTGTATGATTTTTTTTAGAATTAAGGCCTAGATTTTAATCTATAAGGATTAGGGTATACTACCACATCGCAAATTCTGGTTAATTCGCAATCTAGATAGTATTTTCTTAATCAAGATATGCTATATCTTTAATTTTAGTCAAGGTACGTGCGATAGAACTATCCATATATATTACCTGTAGGCATTGGCCGGGAACAATAGTAGTATTCTTGGTTAAAGCAGTAGTATTTGATGATGATGATGACGACGGTTCACATATTGCAGCCGAGCCATAGCGATAATCTTGACGCCATGAGGAAGTAGTACTGCTGCCACTGCTAAGGTTGCGTTCATGAATATCGCAGGTGGCAACCATAATCATACTGTCGTCGTCGTCGTCGTCACCAAGATCGGGCACGACGCCGGTGTACGTGGAATTTGCATAACGATACTGCGGGTTTTCGTCGGCAACAACAGGGCAAGTTCCCTGGCAGTAACATAAGTTGCATTCGTACCGGTCGCCGGGCTTCCCACAATAACAAGTCGTGCAGTAACCGAGGCCGGAGCCACAGTAGTGATTCGGACTACAGCAGCGTCCTGGGTCGCAGGAAGGGCAGTTGCTCCGGTAAGCCGCGCAGCCGTAGCACGTGTGGCTTTCCCCTTCGCAGGTGCCGGCGACATGCAGCGGCCATGACGAAATAATAAGCAGCAGTAGTACGACGACGACTGGTGTTTTTGCCATTGCTAGCGAAATATAGCTCTTTTCCTTGATTTCTGGTCACTTTATTTGTGGGTTTTGATTGTGTGGCTTTTTTTTTGTGTAAATGCACAAATATCTATTTATAGTGGAGAGATCATGAGGGCTAGAAGATACCCACAGTGATTAAATTCAATACAATTTGTTTTCTCCTCCAAACTGAACTCAAAACTACTCCTAGGCCTAGCTAAGGTTATACCGGGAAATGTCAGGTAGGTGGCTGTCGTTTCCTCTACGACCATGTGCTGCCGCACTTGCAGGATGTGCCAACGTCCGGTGACATCACTAAATAACTATGTCGTCAGAACCGAACCGGAGCATGACCCGGTAATGCGAACGGCTCGCACTTTAGTGGTCCAACCGGTATTAGACCGTTTAAAAATCGTTAGAGAACCGGTACCTAATGAACGTTATCAGTATAAATAGTGGACATTTCTTAATCAAAGCTCTTCTCTTTCCTTCGAAATTGTGAAATGGAAATAAGGATTCCGTTTGAGAGCCCAATGTTTTTGGTTTATTTCAATTTTTAATTTTCGGCAAATTTTTTTAATTAAATTTAACGTATGAATGGCAAAAACCGGACGAGCAGCTCGATCGGCTCGAGCGGTTAACCGCCTCGTTTTTAGATTATTCCAAACCAGTTTTGTGACTGGGTGGCGGTTTTACTGATCGGACCGAGCAGCTCGGCTCGACTTTAATAACACTGCTAAAGAATAATACGTTGCAACGTATATAGTGAAATGGAAAGCATTTTTCACTGCTTTAATTTTTTTGGATTTTGAGCAATTCTATGAAACTTCTTTTCATGATTAGGTTTAACTTTTGTTTTATAGATTGATGTTAATGGTTTGGTTCAGGGTACAAAACAATATAGTTTTTCAGTACTACAAAGCCATAATGTATGGCTGAGATTGGAAATGGAGGAACTGGTGATTAAGGGAGGGTCGTCACTACAGGAAAATAAACCTTTCATTACAGGAAATCCCGTGACCAAAGACACATATCCCGTGACTAATTTGATTTGCCATGGGTACTTTCCCGTGGCAGGAAGGCCCGTGATCAAACGTCATTCGCCACGGCATATCCTGTGATTGAAAATGTTTCACAACGTGCATTTGAGAAAGCTGCCATTGTTCCCCATTTAACCAACGTCGCGAGTTGTAAAACTCACTTTGGATGACATTTGTTGCAAGTTCCTTCTAAGAGGTATGCCTTATCTAGTTGGTTAAAAGGGAATCTACTGCATGATTTTTTTCTCATTTAGTCATACTTATTTAGTTCAGTTAAAAAAGATCAAATAGTATATACTACCGATACTAGGTCAGAGTCCTAATTGTTGTGTTGCTTTACTTTGGGTTTTAGTTTGATTGTTCAAGCTTTCTGTGTACAGACTACCTGAAGTACTTCCCATGAATTTATGTCTAAATCTCATATGGCTCTTCCTACTCTCTCTCTCTCTCTCTCTCTCTCTCTCACACACACACACACACACGCATACACACATAACTATCTCTTTCTGATTCATTTAAGCTGGTGGGTTGTCATTAATGCAGGCTTAAAGTGGTACACATCAAGAATTGCAACGGAAAAAGATCAAAATATTTGGAGTTGTAAGTTTCTATTACCTTGCACATAAAAGTTTTCTTAAACTATTGAATTGTGAATGCTTCTTATTTTGTTAACTCAATTTTGGTGTTGTTCTCTACTATGGATTCTTTGCTGCAGGTCTCTACTGCATGGAGTGTTGTTCATTAGCGAGAACTTAGTTTGAATGGTGTGTTTCTGCAGGGCTGCAAGTGAATGAAGGAAGTTTATCTTTGTTGTTTCAAACGGCCCAGACTGTATTTGCTGGTACGAGAAGCTAAGATGGACAGTAAATGGGAGTTTTTAGCCTTTGTATGTGGTTTGAATGAGTGTAAACTCTAGAGTGTAGGTTTCTAGTACTGGAATCGAATGATTGATGTTTATCTTCTTGATTTGGTAATTCAAAGTTGTACCTTTTTATCAATGAGATTGGTTTTCTTTAATGGTTGGATTTGTCAAATGTTGATGAGAAGGAAAATCACAGCAGGCTAGGGCTGTTATAATTAGAGGAGGATGCTGTAAAAAAGTAGTCATTAGCGACGGTCGGTAGCTGTTAGTGACGGTTGGAACTGTCACTAAATAATTTAATGTAATTTCTGAAATATTCATTTAACGACATTTACATGGAAAGATTGTGACGGTTTCAGGCGTCGCGAAGTTTTGCTGACGGTCGGCGCGACGGTCGACCAAAAACGTCGCCAAAAAATTTAAGGTCAGCGACGGTTGGCTGGCTGTCATTAAAATTATTAGCGACGGTTATGACCGTGGCTAAAGGTCCGGATAACCGTCGCTAAAACACTATTTTGTTATAGTGTATGGAGGGTGCAAAACCTCGACCTGCAAAATCCGGTCGTATCATCATATCACGACATAGTGATACAATGCTTTGATGATACAATCAGAGTTTTGCATGATTTTGCAGACAAGAATTTTGTCTATCTGACCATACACTAGTTCACGTATAGACATATATATGGCCCATGTATGCAAGAAACAAACTAATAACCCACTCCATCTCTCTACCATTTGCTCGCAAATGAGAATAGTGCATTATTGTCAGAGCTGCAAGTTGATCCCATTATTGATTTTAACTAGAAGACAACCGCACTTTGTAGCGGGGCTAGAGCCTAGAGGCCTATATTGGAAAAAGAAAAGCCCGGAGCTCATTACCTAACCCGAATAAGATTGACTCTGGAGAGTTCTACCTCTCCCGTGTACTAGTTTTGAATCTCAGGGAAACCACGTAAAAAAATCGGGTGTTCTTATATCTTTGATTTTCAGTTTCTTATCATTATTATGACACCCAATTGGATGAGTATATTTTTCCCAACGATGCTTGAGAAAATGAAGTCGGCATATGCTTCCAAAGAGGCGGGTCATCAAACTTTGTACTAGATTGCCCCGGACTTCCGTCGCTATATATATAAACCCGTGAATTATACATGCCATGCACAAGAACAACCAATTACCCAGTTCTCCTACAGAGAAAATAAAAAGAAAAAGAAAAATAGATCAAGAATGGTTCTAACGATTCCATCATCACTTGTTATTCCAAGCAATTTCAGCCACCGCATCTCCTCTAATGGTGCTACTCCTATCGATTCATCATCACCAGCAGAAATAATGGCAGTCGACGAAGAGATTCCGACGATCGACTACTTCGCCCTCTTCTCCGCCGACCCTTCCCAGTGCTCCACGGCCATGGAGCGCCTCTCCATAGCTTGTGAACATTACGGCTTCTTCAACGTGCGTAATTCCTTGCATGTTTGTATTAAATATCTATATGATTTGGTTTAGGGTTTCAGCAACGTGATTAGTGTCTGTAAGCTCGTACCGAAACACGAAAAAATTCTCCTACCGGAGCGCGATAAGAAGTTTTTAACGGTACGAAACGGTTGTATCACGATTAAACCATAGTTTCGGCATAAAACGTGCTACCACTTATTTTTTTTCCTGTACAACATCCGGTGCGGTTCTACGATTCTTCCGATACTAAAAATGAAGACATGTTCATGCAGCTGGTGAACCATGGGATAGCGGATGGAGTGATGGAAGGCGCGGTGAGGGGGGTATCGGATTTCGTGGGGCAGACGGCGGTGGAGGAGAAGAGCAAGTACAGGGAAGCGCATCCAGGGGCTAAGATTCTTTGGGATTCCAATTGTCACGCCGGTGAGAATAGGGAATATCTCAAGCTCGTTGCTCGTCCACAATTCCATTGCCCGCCTAATCCTCCATCCTTCAGGTATATGTATTTTTTTGAAAATAATAGCTATATAGTTAAACTAGTTAAAAAAAGAAAAAACAAAACAGTTATCTAGTTGGGACATATTTTTCTAGAAGTTTACACATATCACTCCCTATTCTATTGCCCATTTCGCAAGCGACGCGATAAAGGAGTAACATAAGCTTTATATTTGAACATTCTCAATAACACAGAGTTATTGAGATAGATTGGCTCTTTATTTCGTATTAGCTAGGGACTTTCACTCAAATATTATAATAAAATCTAAATAGCTCTCAGTATATTGACGGTTGATTTAAAGACAATATATGACGAGAAGTGGAGGAGCTAGTTAGGTTGGAGACATAAGAAAAGTTATTTTGGGCAGACACTTTGCACATATGGTCTATCTGACCATACACTAGTTCACGTATAGACATATATATGGCCCATGCATGCAAGAAACAAACTAATAACTCACTCCATCTCTCTACCATTTAGTCGTAAATGAGAATATAGTGCATTATTGTCAGAGCTGCAAGTTGATTAATTGTAGCGGGACATTATGTTTGCAGTCCCCCCCCCCTTAAAGTTCATGTTGATATGACTTGAATCGGATTATCAGCCGCTACGACTGGTAACCGGGGGTCTCGCTGCCCGGTCAGCGAGTGGGGTCCAGGGGCAACGCCCCGGTGGGGGTGCGGGGGCAACGCCCCCGGCCCACGGTGTATGAGCTCAATGTTATTTGGGTTCGGGTTCTGGGCCTGGTCTGTAACCGTTTCCTTTGCTAGATTGGATTAGGTTTAGACCCACATGGAGAAGTACTATAAATACTTCTCATACTCCTCTGTAATCTGTAATCTCCTCGATATAGTGAAACTGGCTCTCTCTCGCCCGTGGACTAGCTAACACACATCGTGTTAGTGAACCACGTAAATCGTGTGTCTGTGTTCTTTCGATTCTCGCTCTCGTATTCTTGCTTTATCGATTCCGGCAATTTCCCGATCCGTAGCAGCGCGTTTATAACAAGTGGTATCAGAGCCGCGGCTGGAAATCAGGCTAGGGTTTTCGATTCAGAAGAATGACGTCGGTGAACATGAAGATCGAAAAGTTCACGGGGAAGAACAGCTTCGCTATATGGCAGATCAAGATGCAGGCTTTATTAAAACAGCAAGGGCTGTGGGGGCCGCTGTCTGCGAAACAGAAGAAGGCAGCGGTCGATGACGATGAGTGGAATACCCTGGAGGAGAAGGCCCACTCGACCATCATGCTATCGTTGTCTGATGACGTCATCATTGAAGTCGCTGCTGAGAAGACTGCCGCGGGCTTGTGGTTGAAACTAGAGAGTCTGTACATGACTAAGTCTCTAACCAACAAGCTGCATCTCAAGCAACGGTTGTTCAGCTTGAGGATGCAAGAAGGTACGCCTTTGAGGGAACATCTCGAACAACTTAACTCTATTTTGCTGGATCTGCGTAATATAGATGTTCAAGTTGATGACGAGGATGCTGCCCTAATCCTGCTGGTTTCTTTGCCGAGTTCATATGAGAATTTTGTTGATTCTTTTATTGCTGGTAAAGAAAGCGTGTCGTTGGAGGATGTCAGGTCTGCTCTTCATACGAGAGAGATCAGACATAAGGCGTCCGGATCTGGTACAGGTGGTGAGGCATCGGGTTTGGCTGTTACAGGTGGAAAGGGAAAGAAGAAATCTGGTAAAGGGAATTCGAGCAAGAATTCCAAGGGTCCCGGTCCACAGCCAGGTGATGCTTGTCACAACTGTAAGGAAGTGGGGCATTGGAAGTACAACTGTCCCAAGAGAAGAGGGCAACAGAAGAAACAAGGTTCAGTTGCCGTGGCAGAAGTGGACAACAGTTCTGAAGACGATCTCGCCTTGGCTGTAGATGAGAAGGCACATCGTGGTGATGTGTGGTTTCTGGATACTGCAGCCTCATACCATATGTCTCCGAACAGGGATTGCTTCACAACCTACGAGCAGATAGATGGTGGTAACGTGGTCATGGCTAATGGAGCTGTCTGCAAGGTTGTTGGAATCGGGTCCATAAAGGTTCGGACACATGATGGTTCGTTCTGTACCGTGAATGATGTCAGACATGTTCCACGAATGACGAAGAACCTGATCTCCTTGAGTCTACTCGACAGCAAGGGCTTCAGCTTCAAAGGAAAAGGTGGAGTTGTGTATGTCTGCAAGGGTTCGAGGAAGGTACTGAAGGGCGTGAAGCGTGGGACCTTGTATGCATTACAAGGGTCTGTGTTGTCTGGTTCTGCTGCAGTTGCATCGTCTCAGGTTCAACAGGAAGATATGACCACTCTCTGGCACATGAGACTGGGGCATATGAGTGAACGGGGGATGCAAGTTCTATCGAAGAGGGATCTTCTTTGCGGGCACAAGGTGCAGAATTTGGAATTCTGTGAGCATTGTGTGTTTGGGAAGCTACATCGCAGCAAGTTTCCCAAGAAGGGTATCCACCGGACGAAGGGGATACTGGATTACCTCCACTCCGACTGTTGGGGTCCTTCACGAGTTGAATCCATTGGAGGCAGCAGGTATTTTCTGTCTATTATTGATGATTATTCGAGATTTACTTGGATTTTCATGATGAAGCAGAAAAGTGAGGCTTTCACGAAGTTCAAGCAGTGGAAGACATTGGTGGAGAATCAGACCGGGAAGAAGATCAAGAAGCTGCGAACGGACAATGGTCTGGAGTTCTGCAGTTCTGAGTTCAACGAATTCTGCAAGGATGAAGGGATTGCCCGTCATCGGACTGTTAGAGATACACCCCAGCAGAATGGCGTTGCAGAAAGGATGAACCAGACATTGTTGGAGAGAGCACGGTGCATGCTCTCTAATGCTGGACTAGAGAGAAGATTCTGGGCAGAAGCAGTAAACATGGCGTGCTTCCTGATCAACCGTGGACCACACACAGGTATCGAGTGTAAGACTCCTTATGAAGTGTGGTATGGTAAGCCTGCTGATTACTCTTCACTGAAAGTTTTTGGGTGTCCTGTTTATTATCATGTGGATGAGGGTAAACTGAACCCAAGGGCAAAGAAGGGTGTATTTGTGGGTTACGGAGATGGAGTTAAGGGATTTCGAGTCTGGTCACCTTCTGAGCATCGAGTTATACTTAGTAGAAATGTGATATTTGATGAGAAGTCTATGTTTAACCCCATGTTGAAGGTTACTGTTGTTGAAGGTAGCAGGAATGTTGATAAACAGGTGGAGCTGCAAACTCTCAATGAGAGTGAGTTTGAGCACCAAGGTGGAGAAGATCAACATGATGAGGATGTCTCTGCAGAGCCAGAAACTTCAGAGTCCAGTGCACGAGCTCAACAGTCTATTACTTCCGGTAGACCAAAGAGAGCGACTGCAGGAGTACCTCCACAGAGGTATGGCTTCGAGGACATGGTGGCGTATTCATTTCAGGTTGCTGAGGAAGTGGATGCAGGAGAGCCACAGTCCTATAGAGAAGCAGTTTCGGGTGGTGAAGCCGATCAGTGGCTTGCCGCAATGGGAGATGAGATGGAATCCCATGACAGGAATCAGACTTGGGAGCTAGTCAAACGACCACAGGGAAGGAAGATTGTTACAAACAAGTGGATCTACAAGAAGAAGGAAGGAATCACTTCTAAAGAGGGCATGAAATTTAAAGCTCGGGTGGTTGCACGAGGCTTCTCGCAGAGGGAAGGAGTTGACTACAATGAGATTTTCTCACCAGTGGTCAGACATACTTCGATCAGAGTGCTACTAGCAATAGTGGCACATTATGACTTGGAGCTCGAGCAGCTAGACGTGAAGACAGCTTTCCTACATGGAGAGTTGGAGGAAGAAATTTACATGACTCAGCCAGAAGGATTCGAGGTTCCGGGAAAAGAAGACTATGTTTGTAAGCTGAAGAAGTCCTTGTATGGACTTAAGCAATCTCCGAGGCAGTGGTACAAGAGATTTGACAGTTACATGCTTGAGCTGGGCTACAACAGAAGTCCATATGATTGTTGTGTATATCACAGCAAGGCAGAGGATGGTTCGATGATATATCTAGTTCTGTATGTGGATGATATGCTCATAGCTGCGAGGTCGAAGTCTGATATCCAGAAGTTAAAGGGGCTTCTCAGTGCTGAGTTTGAGATGAAGGATTTGGGAGCTGCTCAGAAGATCTTGGGTATGGAGATTTACAGGGACAGGTCGAAGAAGAAGCTTTTCTTGTCACAGAAGAGCTACATCCAGAAGATATTGTCGAGGTTTGGCATGTCTTCAGCAAAGCCCTTAAATACTCCTAGTGCTTCAAATGTTCATCTATCCTCAGCTTATGCACCACAGTCAGAGGCTGAGAAGGAGTACATGTCGAGAGTCCCATATGCTAGTGCAGTAGGTAGCTTGATGTACGCTATGGTATGCACTAGACCTGATCTTGCACATGCTGTTAGTGTTGTCAGCAGGTTTATGATACAACCTGGGAAGGAGCATTGGCAGGCTGTGAAGAGGATCTTCCGGTACCTTAAGGGTACACATGATGTGGGGATTAGCTTCGGAAGTGATACAGAGTGCTTGGTGTCTGGGTATTCTGACTCGGACTATGCTGGAGATGTTGACACGAGGAGATCGATGACCGGTTATGTATTCACTCTTGGGAGTTCTGTAGTGAGCTGGAAGGCAACTTTGCAGTCGGCGGTGACATTGTCTACTACTGAGGCAGAGTATATGGCGTTGACAGAAGCTGCCAAGGAGGGAATATGGTTGAAGGGACTGGTTGGTGATCTTGGTCTACATCATGATCAGGCAGTGGTGTATTGCGACAGTTTGAGTGCAATATGCTTGGCCAAGGATCAAGTCCACCATGAGAGGACTAAGCACATCGATGTGAGGTATCATTTCTTGAGGACAGAGAAGAGGATTAAGGTGAAGAAGGTTGGCACCGCGGATAATCCTGCTGATATGTTCACGAAGCCGGTTCCACATGGCAAGTTCCAACACTGCTTGGACTTGCTGAATGTCTTGAGTGGGTGACTCCGCCCTACGGGGCATTGATGGCGGGAGAGAGAGAAGGAGCAGAGTACATCAGAGATTTCAGAGGAAGA